GGTTAGGAAGAACCAACATTGTGAAATTGGCTATACTGCCAAAACTGTTACACAGATTTAATGCAATCTTGATCAAAATACCATTAACATATCTTACAGATCTAGAGAAACCATTCCTAAAATTCATAGAAGACCTGGAAATAGAAGAGACCTAGAATAGCAAAGGCAATCCTGAGCAACAAATGCAAGGCAGGAGTCATCACAATCCCTGATTTGAAATTATACTACAAAGCTACAGTGATAAAATCAGCATGATACTGGCAAAAAAAGGAGACCTGGGGATCAACAGAACAGATTAGAAGGTGCAGACCAACTACAAAGATACGTAGCCACCTTATCATTGACAAAGGGACTAAACATGTTCAGTGGAAGAAAGAGCCTCTTTAATAAATGGTGCTGGAGAAATTGCTTGCCACATGCCAAATATTGAAACTAGAACCATGTTTATCACCATGTAGTAAACTAAAGTCAAAGTGGATCAAAGATCTAAATATTAAAATATAAACACTAAATCTACTGGAAGACAAGGTAGGTAGAAATCCTGAATTCGTAGGGATAGGTAAAGAGTTCATGAACAAAATGCAAACTGCACGGGAAGTACTTCAAAGAACAGAGACTGGGATCTCATTTTATGAAAAGGTTTTGTATTTCAAAAGAAATCATCAACAGAGTGAAGAGAAAACCCACAGAATGGGAAAGAATTTTGGCCAGCTGTCTCTCAGACAAAAGACTTCTCTCTAGAACATGCAAAGAAGTAAAAAGATCAGGCCCCTCAAACTCAAAGACTGAGTCCAAAAATGGGCATCTGAAATGAACACACACTTATCAGGTGCAGAAATACAGATGGCAAATAAATACATGAAGACATGTTCATTATCATTGGTCATCTGAGAAATGCAAATTAAAACAACACTGAGATTCCATCTCATCCCAGAAAGAATGGCCAGGATCAAGAAATCAACCAATAACAAATGCTGGAGAGGCTCTGGGGGAAAAGGAACACTTCTCTACTGATGAGAGTGTAGACTGGTGCAACCACTGTGGAAATCAGTGTAGCGATTCCTCGAAAAACTAGGAGTGGAGGTTCCATTCAATCCAGCTATTCCCTGAAAAACTGAAAATGTCATGCCACAGTTACATATATTCATCCATGTTTATAGCAGCAGTTTGTATTAGCTAAATCTTGGAAATAACCCAAATGCCCATCAACCACAGAATGGATTAAAAAGATATATTTTATACCATGGAGTATTACTCAGCTATTAGAAAAGGGTAATCTTGGGCTTTTATAGGTAAATGGGAGCAACTTAAGACCATACTTACAAGCAAAATAAATCAAACTCACATTTAAAAATATTGTATTGCCTCCATAGTATAAAAATAATTTTTTAAAAAGCTGAAAGAGTAATATGATCCAAAATGTACAGTAGACACTGTAATAATGAAAGGGAAAGAATGTGACAAAAAGGAAAGAGCAACTGAGATATGGGAAAGGAAGAAAGGAAAAGATTATATGTTGCTAAACATATATAAAGGTATGTATATATTTATATGCAAGATAGAGATCGTTATAATATCAGCCTCTGTCAATCCATCAAAAAGAACAGTCTGTTCTGTCATTGTTTGGTTATTTTTGTGCCTAAATCTTGTAACCTGAACAACTACTTCTAAGATAACAATATGCAATATATTAACTAGTGTTAATTCCTTACTGTTTTTTAAAAATTCTGTATCATTTCTATTCTTTTCTTCTGTTTTTCTTTTTAAAATAAAAAAAACAATCAAAACAAAAACAATGAAGCATATAAGACTTCAAAACAAGATAATAGGAAATCAACAATGGCTGCCATAATGTCTCTTGTTTTTTTCAAGATGGCTGTCCATATCGTAACACATAATAAAAACAAAACAATAAAGCCAATCAAAACAAAAGAATGAAGCATTATAGGACTTCAAAACAAATTTTACCATAATACATCCTGTTATCTTCAAAATTGCTGCCCATACCATCAGACACAGTGAAATCTAACAAAACAAAATGGAATAAAACCAACCTTAGCAAGATTATGAAAACAATACAAGAATTCAAAACAAGATAATAGGAAATTAACAGTGGCTACCTCTTTCCCTTTTTAGGTCTGTCCTCTCCTACCACTTTCATAATATCAACTATACTTTTTGGATGCCACTAACTCTAGTTTTTTTATTCTAGAGAGATAATTCAGTGTTTACCCATGTGAGTCCAAACCATTTCACCCATGAGTATGATCTCCAGTTGCATCCATTTACCTACAAGAGCCTCAAGATTATCCTACTTCATAGCTGAGTAGCTTCCCCATTATATGAAAATGCCATATCTTTCTTACCCATTCTGCAGTTGATGGGCAAGTTATCCTTGCTTTTTACTGGTCTCCCATCACGTGGAACAATTGTTTTTTCTCCTTTGATTTTCAGTCTATGAATTTCCTTTGAAGTTAAATATGTTTCTTGCATACAGTAATACTGTATCTTGCTTCTTGATCTGCTCTCTCTGTGTTTCTTTTTATTGGTGAATTGAGGCTATCTACACTAACAGTTACAACCCGCATGCATTGATTTGTCTGTTATGCTGTCCTGCCATGGGCCCTCCACTTTTCCCCTTCATTCAGTTGCCTGTCCAGTTTGGCGATGCCCCTCTGCTGGTGTTCCTGAAACCATGGTCATCTTTATCTCTCTCTAGACTATCCTTCGGCACTCTCTGTAAGGTTGGTTTTGCAGTCATGAATTCCTTCAGTTGTTCTTTATGATGGAAGTATCTTACTTTTCCATCAATTTTGAAAGATAGTTTGGCAGGGTACATCAATTTGGGTCGGAAGTTGTTTTCTTTCAGAATTTGAAACACTTCACTCTAAGCTCTTCTTACTTGATTTTTTGTGTTGAGAAGTCTGCCATGATTCTGATTGGTTTTCCTTTAGAGGTGATCTGTTTCTTTTCTCTAACAGCTTTTAATATGCTGTTCTTATGCAATTTCTGGGGTCCTGATTATTATATGTCTGGGTGTAGATTTATTTTGATCATGGCTATTGCAGTCTATATGCCTCACTTATCTGTATACCACATCCTTTTTCTGCTGTTTTGAGAAATTTGAGAAATTTTCTGCTATTACTTCTGTAAATAGTCTTTTTATGGTATTTGTGTTGAGCCCTGCTTTTTACCTGATACCTATCACTCTTAAATTATTTTCTTTACATTGTCTTGCAGCCATTGACTTTGCAGTACTGGGGATTGAACTCACAACCTCAAGCTTGCCAGGCAGGTGCTTATGCCGCTGAGCTAAATCCTCGGCCCACAGCCATTGACTTTATTTCCTGGTTCCTTGTTATTTTCAAAAGAACTTTTGTTTCATGATCACTAGCTGCAATCCTGCCTTCAATGTCTGAAAGTCTACCTTCATTCAGTCTCTTTCAGCTCTTGATGGACTTTTTAATTTCCTGGATATCTCTTTGAGTCTGTTTCATGCATTGTAATTCCTTCCTGTATTGTTGATTCAAGGTTTCCATCATTTTCCTATGATCCTCTTTTTTAATCTATGCTTTCTCTAGATATGTTTAGCAATTCTTTCGATATGTTTGTGATTTCTTCTTTTACCTGAGATTATTTTTGATCTGATTACTTTTACAGTCTCATGAAGTTGGTTTTTTTATTTCAATTGCTATCCTCTCAGAGATTTCAGGTGTGTGAATTCTATTTTCTTCCATATCTATACCTTCCAGATTTGTTGGGATGGAGGTCTGAGATTGCCTTTTGCTTTTCATCCTGACATTTTCCTGGGTTCCTCCCAACAGCCAGGAGAGAGGTCCCAGGCACTTCTCACACTGGCTGCCCCTCCACAGTGTAGGGGAATGGGCCAAGCACCTGGGTTTCTCTGAACCCAGATTCCCAGGGCGGTAGCAGCGCATCGGGCAGGCTTCTCCAGACGTCCACAGCTATACTGAGGCTTCCCTGGTGGCCAGGGGTGCATGGTGGCAGGGCTGCTTCTTCTCTCAGCCTGTGTGCCTGCACCAGAACTCCCCTGAGGAGGCACACAGGGATGTGTTTGTGTGATTCTCCTGGTGGGTGCTGGCTGCCCAAAGGAAGCAACCATCTCCAATGGTGGCTTGCAGGTGCACAGGGTATATCTGGCTGTTTCTCCCTGCCCACACTGGTTACCTAAGGGAGGCAAGGTTTCCAGCAGCGGTGGCAAGTGCACAGGAACAGGCTTGGCTGCATCTCCCTGCCTGCACTGGCTGCCCCCAGGAAGCAAGCTTTCTGATGGCAGTGGCGGGTGTGCAGGGGCAGATCTGGCTGCTTCTCTAATTTTTTTCTCTTCTCCTAGAATGCAAGAAGCCTGAGCAATTCCCTTTCACCTGAAAATGAGTTCAGCAATTTCTTTTTTATTTGTAAGTGGTCTTCTTTCGCCTGTAAAAATGGGCTTTCCCCTATGAGAGGACCATTATTATCTGTGGGTGGTCCACCCCCTGCTACCCTCTAAACGAAGACCATAAACAGTGATGGAACCCCATTCCCAAATTGTAGCATGCCTCTCCTGAGTACCTGCATTTCACTCTTGAATGTTTACTAAAATTTCTGTCTAATAAACCCTTTCATTGTGTTTTTCAGATACATCATAAAAATTCTTTTTCTGTGGTGGATGGGAGTCAGAGAACCTCCAAATATCCTGTGTTTGAGGTGCCTTAAATATCCTCATTTTAGCTTCAGGAAGCTCCTCAAATTCTGGTGGGAATTCCGAATCGAATGCTTTTTCTATCAGATCCATCAGCAGGACAACTGAAAAACTTAAGTAACTGAAAATTAGACAAAAGTAGTGCATTGAAATTAATTTTCTGATTTTGATCATTGTGCCACAGTTACATAGGGAAAAATCTTTGTAGGAAATATATTTTAAAGTACACACAAGTGATGCGGTATCAGGTCGGTTAAGTACTCAAGTCACTCAGGCTAAAATTATTTTGGTAGAGTTTATTTTGTTATTATTGTTGCTTTATATACAGTGCAACTGAGGCAGATTAGGGAATAGTGAAGACTGGCTGGGGTGGTAGGTGTGAATCGCTTGTTAAAAAACCAGGATACCCGCAGAGCGGTTCCCAAAGCCCTGCATGGGAACTCTCCTGAAAACTTGAGGTTTTTGACAGGATGATCTAGGACTGGTGTCAGCCTGCAAAATGAGAGACATGAAAAGGAGAATCAGCCTGGAGCTTTTTGCCGCTGTGTGCACCTTTGCATGGTGGTCCACTCTCACCCTACAGAATATAATTATTTTCTTACTCTTATTTGGCTCAAACTCAGACCACAGAGCGCCTTTCTTTTTCTATCTTTAATAAACATAAAACTTTGCTACTATTTATGTTAGTCTCGGCCAACTCTTTGTTCAGGACAAAAAGAACCTAGAAAGGACCTTTAGGAGAGGTCAGCACCCTAAACCTAGTAACATATTTGACCACTTATCCAGGAGCAGACAAGGCCCTGTGGGCATATTTTTTGCTTGTTTCTTTCTTTCTAAGATCTATGGCTGAGAAGGTGTTTTTCTTTCTCCCTCCCTCCCCTAGGAAAGTTCAGTGCTCTTTCATCCTTTTTCCTCCAGGATGGGCTTTCATCCTCGGGAGGTCTTGAATCCTTTTTAGTTTGGGGAGAGGAAGGCAGACAGAGGGTGTAAAAAGTAACGGAACTCGGGGAACTTGGTCACAGCACCAGGAGGAACTTCCTAGTGCGCTGCACCCTGTAGAAGGGGGCGGGGAACACAGAGCCTGTGTGTCTTTCCCAGCCAGTAGGAGGCCATGGGTTGCCTCCCTGTCTTTCTTCTCTTTCTCATTTTCCGTCATTCACTATAGTAAAAAACAGCCGGAGAACCTGTTTTTAACCCAGATCAAACAGATCGTTCAGGTTCTTTGTGTGTAACTTAGAATTTAGAATGCCTTTTTAACCTCACTTTCTGTTTTCCATGATACTTCACTCAACTTTCTCCCTCTTTTGCAAAAAATAGTTACTAGTAACCTGGTCTCCTGTACGACTAGTTACGTACCCCAGTTTACTCCTTTTTTGTACTCAAAGTCCCACCTGTGCTTTTACCTAGGTGGCTTTTTAGCTCTAGGTATCATTAGTAAAATGCTTTCTCAGTAAATTTTTTTCTGCCATGATTGGCAGCCATTTGGTCCATCATGTGTTAGTCACGTGACCTAACCGTTTTGTTCACCCTGTGGGTTGTCTGTTAGCCATTTTACTTAGTCACATGAGTCAGTCGCACGGTTGTGCCACGCTTGTTTGCGACTATTTTTTCTTTTTCTACTGATTTCATGGTCACTGAGAAATCTCACCCTTGTACATAGAAGCGAAGCTGATTTTAGCAAACATATTGGCCTTTTTCTCTGTTCCCTTTTGAATTGGGTTAGGTACCTCCCCTGTTTTTTCTAACATAAATTCAGATAAATTTAAAAATAAAATGCCCAATGACCTGAGCAGAACAAAGGATGGGCGGTAAAGTCCAGCTGTCTGTGAGCAAAAATAGAGCCATCCTTGTTCCTATTAAGAACACTTTAGGTTTGTTTTTGTTTTTTAAGAAGTTTCTATCTCTCTTGGTTTTGTGTGTGTGTGTGTGTGTGGTCTTGTGGTTTTGGGGGGGTCACGACCTTGTGCTCGCCAGGCAGGCACTTATGCCACTGAGCTAAATCCCCAGCCCAGAAGTTTCTATCTCTACTGCATTAAAACACTTACATTGGTTCTCAAGTGGTTAAGGAACTGTCTGACCAGGGGACTCCACCTGCCAGCCTGATCAAATGGCCGTTCCCAAAGGAACCTCTGAGCATTCTTCACCATTCCCTCTAAGAGTCAGTAGACCACAGCAACCTTGCCATTACCCTAAAGGAGTCACAGTGGGTCACGAGGTATGGAGAATCCTAAGAAAAAATAAATAAATAAGAAGGCACCAGTGCCACTTGCTTTGCCAGAAATATCTGGTAATACAATTGAGTCTCATGGAGGATACTCCCAGGGTTCAATGGCTTTGCATTCTTCTGTGGGTGGGGATGCCCTCTGGAGGACCCCAAACCTAATCTCACTCTCCCTACAAGCCCCATGTAGGTAGCTAGTTGGAGTCCCAGGGGCTCCACTCTTGTCTTTATTATTGCAATGCTGTTGGATGTAGTAACTATTAGAACACTGTTTGGGTCCAGAAACTAGACAAAAGATAGGTAGAGAATGGCAGCCTAAATTTTTCAGTTAGATCTTTTTTTTTTTTTTTTTTTTGCAAGAGGTAAAGAAAGGTGTGAAATCCCCTGTGTTCAGGCTTTTATGATTCTTTATCTCTGTGTATAGACTCAAAGTACATACACAGGACTCCAAAGGAAAAAAATTAAATCTTTGATGATCTTGCCCTATTTCTCAGGGGGATATAGGTCTCTTCCTTTTTTTTTTTTTTTTTTTTTTTTGTCTTTTTTTTTTTTTTTGTCTTTTTTTCATTTTTTTATCAGTACCGGGGATCGAACTCACGACTGCCTGCTTGCAAGGCAGGTACTTATGCCACTGAGCTAAATCTCCAGCCAGCCCCTCTCCCATTTTTTTTTTCCTCCAGAGGCTAACACCCCAGAGAAACCCAGTATTTTCAAAAGATGCTGGGAGGTTTGCAGTTGGAGCCTCAGGACCTTATGACTCAATTGGTAGACATGGCCTTTTCTATGTTCAATTATTGGGATCTACATGAGGATAAAACAAAAACTGCTGAGAAAAACACAGGCCAAAATTATGGCTGTTGCAATTGGCAATGCTTTAAGCACACCCAGGTTATCCAAAGAAAAACTCAGGGCCAGCTAAAGACTGTGAGAAAATCAGACACCGGGCACACGATATCCCAAGCCACCAACGTGCCTGACTCATGGCGCTGGAGTCACTTCCAGAGAAGAGCTAAGCCAGCCAAAATCCTAACTCCCTGCTCTGCTAAGCAGGGCTGGAAAGGTACAAGTCAACTTGCAATGCCCCTGTTCACAGACATCTTTGTCTACTGCACGAAACCCTGGATGACCCTGGATGTCATGGGTAAGCAATTTCAATTCTTTTTTAACTTCCTTCTCTGGAGGACACTCCTCTAAATCTAGAGCCATAAGTGGAGTCAAGAAGGACCCTAGTTAGAGCTTCCTTACTCCTGCTTTAACATGTCAATTCAAAAGTTGGATGCTTAACCATGAGTTTTTAATTCCCCCATAATGTCCTACTCCTCACTAGGAAGATACCTACTAGCAAAATTAGAGGCAGTTTTCTAATTCTGGCAAAAACCAAAGTGGATTTGCTCCATTGGGACTATGCTGGGCCATGCCTCTAGACATGCCTGAGGTTACCATGAAGACTTGCATTACACTCTTGGGAACAGATGATTTCCTAGACCTAAGCAGGCTGAATATCAGTGACCCACCCCTCCAATATCCTGAGATGTGATTTGCTTATGGAAGTAGCTTTGTTCAAAAAGGGCATCAAATGGCAGGTTATGTAGTTGTCAGTTTGCAACAGGTCACTAAGGCCAAACCCCTTCCCTAAGGGACCTCTGCTCAAACAGCAGAATTCGTAACTCTTACCCAGGCACTGAGATTATGCTAAACATCTATACAGACTCCAAATATGTCTTTCTGGCACTATAGGCCCATGCCAAAATCTAGAAAGAAAGGAGCTGTTTGACCAATGTGCAGTCATCTATAGGAAACACAAATAGGAAACTCTACAACTCTTAGAGGTAGTCTATCTTCCAAAGCAGGTCACCGTCATTCACGGCAAGGGATTCCAAAGCGACACATCTGAAGTCTCTCTGAGAAATCAAAAGGCTGGTTCATAGACCAAAAGGGCAGCCTTACAATCCATTAAGACCTTAGCTTTCATCTTAGTTCCTGAGTAACCATTAAAGTGGTTCTTCCTTTAAGTGAAAAGCTACAAAAATTCTACATGAGAAGTAGTCACTTGAATTTTCACAGGACTAGGAAGAAAGATACTCCTATGAACCTCTGGGAGACCTGAAATTTCTCTTCAAAAACCAAGACTCCAATACTGTGCCAGACACAGATAAATAATACAGATAAATAAATGAACACTTGTACTGAGGCTCCTGTTTTTAATTAGATGTGTAATGTGAGTAATCTTACTATAAGGCTCTGGTTGTCAAGTGCTCGATAATTTACCTAATATCCCTCCCTGCCATATTTTCACTTCCATATGAAGCAAGGAAGTCTGACCTGTTCCTTCTCGTATTTAGGTTCTACATCCCTAACCTAATAGTAAATTTACTTTTCTGCAAAATCCAATGATTTCTCCCATTGAATAGGCAGCTCATAAATACTAGTACTCCTCTCATTATGTTCTTTCTGACAGATTTTCTATTTCTTCAAGCCAGCCAGGGAGCCATAACATCTTAAGGTAGTTGGAGAGCACATAGACCCTAGTAGAGGGTTTACAACCCCTTTCAGCATGAAGTAGCACTATAAAGATGGAGACCTTCACTACCTCAGGACCCCATAAAGAATTACGGGGACTTACATCTCTCAGGAGGAAATGAAGCAGATTAGAGCATGGCGAAGACTGACTGGGGAAGTAGGCACAACCTGCTAATTACAACATCCCAGGATATATGCATAGATCAGTTCCAAGGCCCTGTGGACTTCTTTCAAGCATGTGAACAAGTTTTCAGTAAGATGGGCTAGACCTGACGTCAGTCTGAGGAGTGGGAGATCAAAATGGACAATCCACCTCAAGTTTTTTGCACTGTGTTCTCTCTCATGCAGTGATCCACTCTCACTTTATGCAGTATAGTTACCTTCTTTTACTTCGCTCAAATTCACTCACTGAGCATGTCTCTTTCCCTCCTGTTAATAAATGCAAAACTTGACCTTGGGACACAGGACCTTCAGTAGCACACAGGGCCAGGCCCTGAGCCGGCCACTTCTGCACCTCCACCTTCCTGCCTCTGCACTCAGGGACCCTCCACCTCCTGGACCTGCTATTGTTGTTGATCTTCAGCTCCCACTTTTCCCCCCAGAACCTTGGACTACAGTGGATTAACCATGATGTGTTGATGGGAGACCTAGTAATGCCTCATCCAAACAGAAGACCTCAGCAGGCTTCCATCAGTGTGGTGAGTTTGCCCCTAAAATAGGAATAGGGTTTTGTACCTTCAGTGGGTAAACAGGAGCAAAAGCGAAGCCCCCTCCAGAAGTAGGACCTCGGTGAGCTTGGCAAGAGTGTGGGTGAGTCCTTCCTCCATATAGAGAACATCCGGTAGGTTGAGGAGGATGCTAATAAGGCCTCTCCCAACCTGGAGAAAGTTAAAAGGGCTTATGGAGACACCCAGTGACACAGTAGGGTCCCAACCGAGACAAACACTATAAACAGGCAGATCTGGTGACTCGAGCGACCTGAAGACATAATAGCAGCAGGAACTAAGGGTTGATTTACATCAATACTCCTAGGCTAGTCAGCCAACAGGCCATGCAGGAGGAATTCAGGTGACTGGCTCACCTCTTCATTGTGGCACCCAGCAATTGGACAAACATCAATCACACAGTAGGACCCTAAGATACATACTACCAATACTTGAGGCTAGTGGGATTTAAAGACCAAATATTAGCCCAAAAGGTGAAAATGACAAAATGAAAAAGCAAAATGCAATCTCAAACATCTAGCCCATCAGTAGCAAGTACAGGAGACATTGAAATAGAGGACTTTTGAGAGGCTGGGCAGCCCAGGGTGAGTGTCCCGCACTTTCCCCCAAGTCCAGGTAATTTGTGACCCTCACTCAGCGCTGGACAGGGAACTTCATGGCTTCTGGGTGCACTGGGCCAGCACGGTGGGTCCTGAGTGGGACTGCAACAGCCTCCCTGCTCCCAGCTGTGCTTGGCAGACTTTGGAGTTCTAAGCAAGCAGGCAGGTGCCATTTGTTCCAGAAACTGGGCTTGAGCTGGCCTGCCCCACCCCCAGTGACCCTCTCAATCCAGGGAACTGGGTGGCCAGAGTCCCAGGAGCTGAGGGCATAGAAGAGGATTTCCAACAGACCCTGGGGAAGCCTTGGAATAACACTTGAAACACAGAAATATGAGAAAATGACAAAACAAAAGACCAACTTACAACCTCAAACCTCCAGCCTATCCCAAGAAACCTTAGGAGCTATGTACATAGAAGAAAATATACGCCATACACCTGAAATATCAGACATAATAGCAACTGAAATAAAGAAGCAACTCTGGGAAGCTTTAAAGGAATTTGAATTAGAAATAATCTCCCAGGTAAAAGACAAAATGATGAAAGAAATGAAGGAGATGCTGAACATATCTAAAGAAGACACAGTTTAAAAAATGGAGGAACTAAACAAAAAGATTGAATCCCTGGATGAGCAATATAAGAAACAAACAGAATACATAGAGCAGATGCAAAGAGATATACAGGAAATCAAAAATTCCATTGAAAGCTATAAAAACTGCCTCAATGAAAGTGAAGATAGAATTTCAGACCTCAAAGACAAGATTGCAGCTAGTGAACAGGAAAGGAAAGATCTTTTAAAAATAACAAGGAAGGGCTGGAGATTTAGCTCAGCGGCATAAGCACCTGCCTTGCAAGCAGGCGGTCGTGAGTTCGATCCCCAGTACCGATAAAAAGGAAAAAGACCAAAAAAAAAAAAAAAAAGGAATCAGGAAATAATTCAACAACTGCAAGATGATGCAAAGAAAAACAACACAAAATTGATAGGGATAAATAAAAAGAAGGGGACAACATAAAGGATGTCTAGAGGATATTTAGAGAAGTAATAGCTGGAAATTTCCCAAACATGAGATCGGAAACTGACATCAGGATCAGTGAAGCATATAAAACTCCAAATAGTCATAACCAAAATAAAACTACACCCAGACATATAATAATCACCATCCCAGAAATCCAACATAAGAATAGAATATTAAAAGCTGTCAGAGAAGGGGCTGGAGATTTAGCTCAGCAGCATAAGCGCCTGCCTTGCAAGCAGGCAGTCGTGAGTTCGATCCTCGGTACTGATAAAAAGGAAAAAGACCAAAAAAAAAAAAAAAAAAAGCTATCAGAGAGAAAAGACAGATCACTTATAAAGGAAAACCTATCAGAATCACAGCAGACTTCTCAGCACAAACAATAAAGTCAAGAAAAGCATGGAGTGAAGTATTCCAAGTCCTAAAGGAAAATGATTTCCAACCTAGACTGATGTACCATGAAAACTGTCCTTCAAAATCAATGGAAAAATAAGATACTTCCATGACAAAGGACAGCTGAAGAACTTCATGATCACCAAGCCAACCCTGCAAAGAATATTCAAAGACAGTTTAGATACACTTAGGAAGAAACTACAAGCAAAACAGACAGTTAAACAGAACAGAAAGATAAAGATGCAACAGCAGAAAGATAACATGTCAACAATAAACCAACATATAACAGTTATAACCATTAATGTAAATGATCTCAATGCACCAATTAAAAGAAACAGACTGGCAAAATGGATCAAGAAACAAAATCCAATCATATGCTGTCTACAAGAAACCCATCTAACCCAAAAGGATACTCACAGACTGAAAGTCAAAGGATGGAAAACAATACTTCATGCAACAGGACCCCCCCACCCCCAAAAAAGTGGGAGTAGCTATTCTGTTTGCAGACAATGTGAACTTTAAACCAATAATGATCAGAAGAGATAAAGAGGTTCACTACATACTGGTTAAGGGAAAACTTCCAGAGGAAGAGATAACAATCTTAAATATATATGCACCAAATTCCAGGGCACCAGTTATATAAGACAAGTATTAACAGAAATGAAAAATCAAATTATCAGTAACACAATTGTAACAGGAGACCTTAACACACCATTGACACCAAGGGACAGATCAACCAGACAGAAAATCAGCAAAGAAATAACAGAACTGAATCACACCTGTGAACAAATGGACTTGATAGACATATACATGTTGTTCCATCCAACAACATCAGAATACACATTCTTATCAGCAGTATGGATCATTCTCTAAAATAGACCATATATTAGCTCACAGAACATATTTAAGTAAATGCAAAGAGCTGAAATTATCCCATGCATGTTATTGGATCATAGCATTAGAAATTAATGATAAGAGATACTGCAAAATCCCACAAACACATGGAAACTGAATAACACACTCTTGCATAATCAGTTGGTCACAGGGGAAATTAAAGAAGAAATTAAACAATACCTACAAGCAAGCAAAAATACAAATACAACTTACTGGAATCTGTGAGATGCAATGAAAGCCATCCTCAGAGGAAAATTTATAGCACTGAGTTCCCACATCAGGAAAACAGAACAAATACAAATAAGTAACCTGATTTTACAAACATCTAGAAAAAGAAGAGCAAGTCAAGCCCAAAGCCAAAAGAAGAAGAAAATTATAAAAATTAGAGCAGAAATCAATGCAATAGAGACTAAGAAAATAATCCAAAGAATCAATGAATCAAAGAGTTGGTACTTTGAAAGAATAAATAAAATTGACAAGCCCCTAGCCAACCTTATTTTAAAAAGGGAAGAAAAAGCTCAAATTCATGCAATAAGAAATGAAGAAGGTGAAATCACTACAGACTCTATAGAAATATAGAAGATTCATCAACACCTATTTTGAAAACTTCTACTCTCAAAGGTTTGATAACACAGAAGAAATAGACAGATTCCTAGAAACATATGAAGTACCAAAGCTAGGTCAAGAAGATGTAAAACTGCTGGATAACCCAATTTCTATTAATGAAATTGAAAATGTAATTAAGTCCTTACCTACAAAGAAGAGCCCAGGCCCAGACGGATTCACTGCAAAATTCTACAAGAAATACAAAGAAGACTTAATGACAACACTCCTCAAACTCTTCAATGAAATTGAAAGGGAAGCAATTCTTCCTAAGTCATTCCTGGAAGCAAATATTACTCTAGTACCAAAACCTGAGAAAGACCCAACTAAAAAAGAGAACTACAGACCAATCTCCCTAATGAACACAGATGCAAAAATCCTCAATAAAATATTGGCAAATAGGATACAGCAAATCATCAAGAAGATTATACACCATGACCAAGTGGGATTCATCCCAGGCATGCAGGGATGGTTCAACATATGTAAATCAATAAATGTAACCCACCATATCAATAAAGCCAAAAGTAAGAATCACATGATCATTTCTATAGATGTAGAAAAAAAGCTTTTGATAAGGCCCAACATTCATTTATGATAAGAACTTTACAGAAAATTGGAATAGATGGTCTTTACCTCAATATAATAAAAGATATCTATGGCAAATCAATGGCCAGTATCATACTAAATGGCCAAAAATTGAAGGCCTTTACTTTAAAATCAGGCACAAGACAAGAATGTCCCTTATCACCGTTCCTATTTAATATAGTACTGGAAATACTAGCCAGAGCAATTAGACAAGAGAGAGAAATAAAAGGCATAAAGATAGGAAAAGAAGAAGTTAAATTATCATTGTGTGCACATGACATGATACTCTACATAGAAGACCCCCAAAACTCCATTGAAAGATTCTTAGATATAATAAATAAATTCAGCAATGTAGCTGGATTACAAAATCAATACTCAAAAATCAATAGTATTCCTATACACTAACAACAAAATCACTGAGAAATGAGAGAAATAAGAGAAGCCACACCTTTCACACTAGCAACCAAAAAAATGAAATATTTAGGAATTACCCTCACAAAAGAAGTGAAAGGCCTATACAGGGAAAATTATAATACACTGAAAAAACAAATTGAAGACAATCTCAGAAAATGGAAAGACATCACTTGCTAATGGAGAGGAAGAATAAATATCATGAAAATGGCCATTCTCCCAAAACTGTTATACAGATTCAATGTAATCCCAATAAAAAATACCACCAACATACCTCATAGATCTCAAGAAATCACTCCTAAAATTCATCTGGAGTGAGAAGAGACCTAGAATAGCAAAGACAGTTTTAAGGAGCAAAGGCAAGGCAGGAGGCCTCACAATCCCTGACTTGAAGTTATACCACAAAGCAACCATAATAAAATCAACATGGTACTGGAATCAAAACAGAGCCAAAGATCAATGGAATAGATTAGAAGATACAACCACAACCACAAACACACTCAACCACCTTATCTTTGATAAAGGGGCCAAACATGTTCACTGGAAGACGACAGTCTCTTTAATAAATGGTGTTGGAAAAACTGGCTCTCCATATGCTGAAAACTAAAACTAGACCCATGCCTATCACCATGTATGAAATTGAAATCTAAATGGATCA